AAGGTAGGAAGGTAGGAAGGCAGGCAAGCAGGCAGGTATGTGGATTGGTCGGTGGTCATACACACACACACACACACACTCTCTCTCTCTCTCTCTGTCTCGCTCTCTCTCTCTCTCTCTCTCTCTCTCTCTCGCTCGTTCGCTCGCTCTCGCTCGCTCTGAAGCTCGAATGTCTCTCGCCTGTCTGCTCCACAAACCAGACGCACAGCCCGGACAGCTGCTAGTCGCGAAGGTCTCTAGTCGTCCTACTAAAACCTGAAGCCGAGCCAAGGAACACGTAGCCAAAGGGGTAGAGGTAGTGCATCAATGCCATATCTCCGGTGAAGAAGGAGTTGAGGGTGTCCACCACCTCCTTGTTCTTTATATCCAAGCCGAACATCACGTGGTGCAAGTACTTTGTCCAAAACTCCTGGTTGCCACCTACAGGAGAGTTGTAGAAGTCGAAGCCGCTGTCGATCTTCGCGAAGTCTGCTGTCAAGGAGGCCATTATTTCGTTCGCGATGCTGTCGGACTCCCTGGCAATTGAAGCATCACTCAGCAAGGTGTCCACGACGCACTTCCGGAAAGCCTCATGGTCTCCAGTGCCTCCGACTGCCTTGCTGGCTAAACTCAGCAAGAAGACACATCGACCTCCTTCACCGTGCGGCACTGCGCTTGGAAGCAAGGGGTGCTCGCCCAACCAGTAGTTCCGTCCCTGCGGGTTCTGCACTGACTTCTTGACCTCGGCATGACTACCTAGCCAGACCTCTCCAGATGCACAGAAGTTCTTGCCGTACTGGTTGAAAGTGAACATGCAATTGTTGGTGTTGCCGGCCCCGATGCTGTCCACGATTTCCACGAGAGGCAGCAAAAGGCGGGAAATGAGGTTCCAGGGCCTTTGCAAGGCCTCAGCTGGTCAGTTCAGAGGCCCCGACTTCCAGCTTTTTTCCAAAAGGATAGATTATCCCAAAAAGTTCAGATCCCTAAACTCCTAGAAGCTTACAAACTCGGCTGCGAAGAGGCCCAGAGTTGGAAGGTGTTCTTGTGGTAAAGGAGGATCACGGCTTCGATGGCCACGAACAACACTACGAGGCCGATGATCCCCGCGGACACGAACCAAAGGCCGTTCCTTGGGGTTGGGGTTTAGGGGTTGAGTGTTTTCGGGTTTATAGGGATGGCAACAAGAACGAAAAGGCCGTCCCTTGCACTAGCTAGAGTTTAGGGGATGGGGTTCCATAACCTGCTTGTCTGTAGGCTCTCAGAGAATTCTGAGTATAGAAGCTATGGGCACCCCGCAAAAAGTAGGTTGTTGCAGTCGAAGGTTCATGAAGCAAAGCACGACCGTCGCGATCATGGCCGGGATTACCACCAGGAAGAGAACGGGAACCGACACCAAAGGACCTCTTGCGTCAGAGTTCGAAAGACATCACAGGATTTGCGAGGCCCCTTACGCGATTTCACAGGGCTTGAACCAGGGTTTCAATAGAAGCTCTACCGAAACCCGCAGCCCTGAAGCCATAAACGCCAAACCTGTTAGGTAGGAGCTGGGCCATCTGCTGCTTGAACCACATATTGGGGTTTAGGGGTACCCTAAGCAATACCATATAGAAAATATCCTATGTACCCTGTATATACCTTAATCCGTAACCGAACCGAACCCCCCCAAAAGCCTGAACCTGAACCGACACCGTAGAGTTGGGTTGGGAGGGTTTGGGCTGATTCGTGCCGCAGATCCAGCGGATCTAGGGCCTCCTTAAAGCATAAACCCTAACCCTAAACCCTA